ATGCAGTGTAGCAACAATGAAACATACAACTTCCCTCTGATTCTTAAATGCTTCATCCCCCCCACTATCTTGATCCCAATTCTACCTTACAAATCCGGCTACACCAGAGGATGTACACTGTACAGATAGGAACTGGAAACACAGTGAATCCAGGACAAATTATCCCTTCAGGACCAGTGGTGAGAGTGGCAATACCAGGAGGGTGGAAAAAGGTGGGGTATAAAGGGGAACCAATTATAAGGATCTACATATAAACTCCTCTCTGGGGACGGACAACAGAAAAGTGGGTGAATGGGGACGTCGGACATTGTAAGACATGAGAAAATAATAATAATTTATAAATTATCAAAGGGTTCATGAGGGAAGGGGAAAAATGAGGAGCTGATGCCAAGGGCTTAAGTGGAGAGCAAATATTTTGAGAATGATGAGGGCAACGAATGTACAAATGTGCTTGACACAATTGATGTATGTATGGATTGTGATGAGTTGTATGAACCCCCAATAAAATGATTAAAATATATATAAATGGGATGAGAACTGCGTAGGAGCAGTGTATCTGCATACCACTTGAAGTTAATTCAATTATTAATTCAAGGTATCAATATCAAGTTATCAAAACCACGTTGCTTAAATTGAGAATGGCAATTTTAATCCCCATGATAATCACTAACATAATAAAATTTTTAAATACATAGAAGAAGAAATGAGATTGGAATAAAAATAATGCACTAAGGGGGGAAAATCAAATAACAAATAGTATTTGAGAAGTTAAAGAACAAGAAAGCCTGTAGAAAAATGACAGAAGTCCATCTTCATCAATGATCACTTTAAATGTAAAGGAAATAATTCACCTGTTGAAAGAGAAATTGACAAAATGAAATAGTTTTAAATTGAAATGTATTTATACGAGAGACTCACTTTGGATCCAAAGAAAAAAGGGTTGACAGTGAAAAGAAGACGAAAAAATAGTACCCAAAAGAGAGCTGGAGTGGCCAGACTGACAAAATCCAAATCGACTTTAGGTAAAAAATTTCCCAAGAATCCAAGAAGAATGTTCTGTATTGATCAAAGAGTTGACTCATCAAGGAGATATAACAATTATAAATATATACACATCAAACTATAGAATTAAGTATATATGCTAATATGTAACTAAACATAAGTAACACAATATAGAGAGAAAACCTTAACAAATTGAAAGAAGAAATAGATGTATCTATAATTATCATTGGAGACATAATTTTCAAATACATATAAATTTTTCTCATTTAGATATAGAAAACTAGCGGTCAGGCATGTTATTGTGGCTAGCAAATATTACATAAATACAAGAGGAAAAGAGAAATATTGGTTAAATATGTGAAATAGAATAAAGAGAGAACATGTATAAGATATATTTTATATATCTTAATAGTCTGTATTAATGTTCATCAATTAAGGTGAAACTCACAGCCAAATAGCATCCCACTAACAGCCTACTTACAGCAAAAAAGATTTTTCAGTACTTTGAAGTAAAATTAGACATAAAACAGCTGGTTTGCACTGAATGTTTCCTCATGAAAAGAAGCATTTTGGACATGTCACTACGTTTCCTGTCTAGATTATAAATTTTCCCAGAAAAAGAAGAATAACTTATTTACAGAGAATCTCCACTAAATTCCTTAGAGGGTTGAAAGTATTTCATCAACTCGGAAAGCCCAAAGTCCCACTTGTTAGCATGTCCCCTATGCCCCTTTGAAAGTTGCCATTATTTAGATAATGAGCTAAAATTTGGCTTCAAACTGTGACTTTACATCACTGGCCAGATATCCCTTAGGTACCCAGCCCCACTGCCCAAGCCACTGCCTTCTCTATATAGATGCCTCTCTAAGAGGCTTTGCTATTGTGTCTTTGAGTTGATGTTGATTCACTGAGAGCCTAGGTGTGCAGAGTAGAAAGGCTGTGAGATTTCAAAAGCAGGTCACCTTTCAACTGGTCCTTCAGTACTTACCCATTTGCACCACACATGGAATCCCCTGAAAGATTAGATCTACAATTTTTTATTATGTTTTCTAGTATATAAAGATTTACAATTAAAAAGAAACAAGGAGATGTTTCAGCAAAGGTCTTGTGATCAAATGAGAGAAATGTTGCACTTCCACTGTTAAGAGACTCCTTTGTGGCCATGGGAAAGGTGTCCAAGGATAAGGATACTGGAGATTGTCTTTTGTTATAATCAAGAGTTCATACCATTCCACTTCTCGTCGTGTATAGCTCTCTACAAGAAAAACATCTGTTACTGCTTTTTCTATAGTCTACCTGAGGAGAATTGGATGTTTCATATATGACCAATCACTGACCTCAGATGCTCACTTATTGGACAGGACAGAAAAACATATGCATTCGGTATCAGAAAAATCTGGGAGCTTCCTGTGTGAGGTACAATTTCTCTCAATATTTCCTTCCTTCTTCCCAGGTCTTTCTCATTCAACCTTTCCTTCCTGCTTCTTGAAAGGATATCTTTCACCTCGAACCTTCTCCTTCTGTGCTTCTCTTGGCTGGGTTTTCACTGTGTCAGGGCTGTTTTGGGTTCCCCTCAGGGAAGCTTGTAATCAGCTGCTCAGGATGCACGCTTTCTTCTCCTAGGTGAGAATGAACATTGATAATAAAGACGTCTTCCATATCGGGCTCAACCCTGCATGGTCTGCGCCTCAGAAAAGATGAGGGAAAGAAAAGGTCTCCACTCTCAAGCTTCTAATTCAAAGAAGAGCTGATAGTAAATTCAAAGATCACAGTGTTCTCAAAAGAGATAAATTTGAAAACCAGAGTTATATGCTATCTCTCAGGGTTACTCCAATAGATTTGTAGATGCACATTTATTCTAGTGGAATACATCTGTAGTGACTGAATTTAAGTCACTACAAATAACGAAGATGGTGAATGGTCATTATTTGGGATGGCAGTGGACGACGTGCTGGGTGGTCAATCATTCATAAGAGAATTCTGGAAGGTCCAAGGGGGTTGGGAAGTTAATGTCAAATGATACAACTCTTGACTATCAAGGAGAACCTTTCATTGTATTCCATGGGCAGTGGTCAAGAATCATTTTGATTTTTAAAAAAAAGGGGAAATGCCAGTTGTAACAATAAAGGATAGTTTCTAACTACTGTGAAAACATTAGTGAAGAGCAGAAAAACCGCAGACAATATTTTGCATAATAGATTCTATCTAACAAATGTGGAAACAGACAGTTTATTAAGTCTTCAGATTTTTCATCTCTAAATTGGATAGATAACTTCTTTTTCACTGCTATCAAATTCCTTTCCATGTGCCCACTCGCAAAATTCAGGCAATAGCCTCTTGACTTTGCCCTAAGTTTAAAGTAGACAATATTTGAAAAATCACCACGTAAATTACACAGCCTAACCAAAAACAACATACTCTCTTTAAACACTAATGATTGTGAAAAGGTGCTGAATAAAGAATTGAACAGTAAGTTACAAGGAAGAGCTTAGATATGGGACAACCAGTTTGAGAAGCATACTACAGTGTACAGTACATGGTGAAGCTAAAATAAATGAATAGAGAGCTCAATTGAATACCTGAATAGAGTGGCATAAATTAACATGTAATAAGAGCAGAAGAATGAGAGTCAAATTTTTAACATGGTTAATCATGGGAGTCCATGACTCACAGGGGGAGGGGGGACAAAAAAGATTTAAAGCCTGGAGGATAAGTGAGGAGAGTGTTGGGATATTTATGATAAAATGTAAAGTAGGAAGATAGAGATGTATAAGGAGAATATTGGGATGTCCTGGCTATAAGGAGGGTCTGGGGGCTCATTCTAACGATTGTTCTTATTGTACAGAATAAAGCAGTCTCTAAATGGCCTGGGAGAACCACACCACTATCACTGAATTCATCCTTCTTGGGCTGTCTGCTGATCCCAAGGTCCAAGTTCTGTTCTTTGTGCTGTTCCTGGGAATTTACCTCCAGACCCTGATGGGGAACCTCTTGATGCTACTGGTCACCTCAGTAGATTTTCGCCTCCACACACCCATGTACTTCTTCCTGAGTCACCTCTCTTTCTTGGATATTTGCTTCTCATCTACCACAGTGCCCAAGCTACTGGAGAATCTGCTGTCTCAAAGAAAGACAATCTCTATGGCTGGCTGCCTGATTCAAGCCTTCTTTTTGTTTTATACTGGGGGCACGGAAGCCTGCCTGCTTGCGGTGATGGCCTATGATCGCTATGTGGCCATCTGCCACCCTCTGCTCTATGGCCAGATGATGAACAATATCGTGTGTAAGAGGTTGTTGTGGGGGTCCTGGAGCATAGGCTTTCTGGATGCACTCCTCAACATCCTCCTAACTATGAACTTGGATTTCTGTGAGGATAGGCCCATCCCACACTACAGTTGTGAGCTGCCCTCACTCTTCCCTCTGTCCTGCTCTGAAGTCTCCATCAATGTTACTGTTTTGCTCTGCTCCAGTCTCCTGCATGGACTTGCATCCTGCATCCTCATCATTTTCTCCTACACTTTCATTGTCTCCACCATCCTGAGCATCAGCTCCTCCACAGGCAGAAGCAAGGCCTTCTCCACTTGCTCCTCCCACATCGCTACAGTGCTCCTGTTTTATTGCTCATCTTTCCTTCGCTATGTCGTGCCAAACTCGGATTCACTATTAGATCTGATTTATTCTGTGCAGTACAATGTGATAACTCCCCTGGTTAATCCCCTCATCTATAGCCTGAAGAACAATGAGGTAAAAGTAGCTTTACGAGGGATCATGAGAAAATACTTTCAATGTCTCAGATAGTTGAACACAGATAGAATATTTTGAATAACTCATATATTATAGAAAAACATCTGATAAGTTGACAATAAGAATTTCTTGATGGGCTCTGATATGAGATACAGAAAAGTATCCTAGGAGTTATTCAGATTCACTGTTTTAGAGACAGAGCAAAATATCAAATGACCACATTAATCCAGCCATTTTTCTAGAGTAGTTGTGATAGTTAGCTTTGGGTTAACTTGGCTGGGCCAGTAATGACAGCAGATTGGCAGTTAGGATGTAGTCATCCTCTGTGATGAAATCTGATATAAGGTAATCACCTCCATGATGTTTTCTGTTATGAGCAACCACTCAACTGACAGGGACCTTCCTCAAGGGTATATAGCTTGCTTCCAATATATGTGGATGCTCTGGTAACTTTTTCTGAGTCTGGATCCTGAATCCGGCTCATCATCTGACTGCTGGTTTTTTGAACTTGAGACAGCAGTCTACCATATTGCCTGCTGGTCCTGGCAGTTGTCAAAGATCTATTGTGTTATCTGCTGACCTTGGATTCATTCACCTTGAAGCCAGTAGCCTGCTCTCTCACTGGCAGTTTTTTTGTATCAGCTGCTGCAGTTACATGAGTGAGGAGAAGCCCTCAAAGTGACATCTGACCCACAAACTTGGAACCTGCTACCTCTACAGTTGAGTGAATCTTTTCCTTGAGATAAATCCCTATGTATATAATAATATCCAAATTTCACTGGTTTTCTTTCTCTAGAGAAACTCACAAGGACACTAGTCTTTAGGCTGCACTGATAGATCTTCTTATTCTGTTTGTCTTTATGATGCAGCTCTCTATGTAACCCATCATCATGTGTCCATACCATAAGAGGAAGAAACATAAAACAAACCTGATGAATCTTGAGTTTGATGAAGGATAAGGGTTTAGGAAGTCAAAGGTCTAATAGTAAGAAGCTGAGTCATTTCGATATGGAGAGATCAAGTTGAATGAAGGTAGACATATTCAGAGTAAGATTGGTCAACCCAAAGACAGGAGGATCCAATAGGTGATACACTCAAACAAGTTGCTAGTACATCTTAAAATTTAATTTTTTTAAATGATGAAGATGATGATTTCAGTAAAAATAGACAACTTGGCAAAATGACATTTTCAAATTGAGCAAGGGCTTAGGATGCAAGACCAAAGGGAATTTTTGATAAGGGATGATTCTCGTGATTAAGTCAGGAAGAATAAAAACTATAAATTAGAAGTCCAGAACCACATGGTTGCCTTAACTCAAGGTTGTGTCTAATCAGGTCACTAAACCAATGGTTCCCTAGACCCAAAGGCAAGTACAGAAGCTTTCCTCAAAATTTTACTGTAGAGCATAAGATTGAGTCTGAGGATGCAAAGGATGTGCATACGGTGTCCCAAGATATAGGATACAACATGAATCCCCAACTAAATGTATAGCAGGTTAGACTGGTGCTTTTTCCTTCCCTTTGTTTGCCCCTCTCATTTCTTGATGGCCTTTTTCCTACCCATGTACCCAATATCTTCAAAATGAAACAAGTAGAGGAAAGTACCTAAGAGCAATTCAACAAGAGGAAATTTTCTTTTAAAGTCATTTTTGGTTAATAATTATTCCTTTTAGTGACATAAACATTGAATGCTAAGTTCAGGGTTGGTGGTTCAACAACACTAGTCCCTCTACCTGAAAAAGTTGAAGCTATTTTCTTCTGTAAAGATTTATAGCCTTAAAATTCTTATATGGAATCACTATAAGTCAACCCAATGGCAATGATATTGAAAATATCATTTCAATTCTATTAAAATATACCTAAACTTTCTATCCATAGAAATAATTTATGCTCACTAGCATATTACCTGCTGAGGATATATTTTTATTTTTTGAAAATTGATAGAATTTACAGTGATACAGAATGTTACTGAGTTGAAAAATAATTTCAGTTTCAGTTTCATGTCACCATTCAATAGGTTTCTCATATGTTGTACTTCCTCCATTTTCTTATAAATTTGGGGTTTTAATATATTTTCCTTCTTTATTGTGATAAGTACATATGTAAAAAAAATTACTATGCCAACATCCTTCAGATGTATATTTCATTGACATTGTGTTCATCATGTTGTGTATCCATTACTATGATCTGTTTCCAAATGTTTCCACCACACTTAACAGAAGCTTAGTTTCCCCAATCCAATGGGTTCCCTTTGTCTAGCTCTCCTGGATGCTCCTGGTAACCACTGATAAAAAGATTGTGTAGATATTGCATTTAAGTGAAAAACAACATTTATCCTTTAGCAACTGACGTTTTCACTCAATATGATATTTTCAAGGTTCTTCAATGCTGAAACGTGCACAGAACATTAATTTACACTTTTCTTTTTTGCTGTTATTTTCATGTGTGTTCTGAGGTAAAACGAAGGCCATAATAGTAATAGGGAGGAAATATTTTAAAAACTAGAAGATAGCTATGTGTTTCATCAGTACTATACTGTGCCCTAGATATGTCATCCCTTCCATGTGGCCCTTCTGTGAGGGACTGTCCAGTTATCTCACAGGTGGGTTTTGGGTCTCCATATTGTTTACTCTGCTTCACATCAATTTGGTTGCTTGTTTTGAACTTCTGATACCTATTCCTGTAGACACCTCATGATCACACAGGCTGGTGTACTTCTTCCAGGCTGGTGTGCTTCTTCCATGTAGACTATGCTGCTTCCATGTTAGATGGTCACTTGTTTAACTTCAAACCTTTAAACCCCAGACACGATATTTACTAATAGCCAGGCACCATCAGCTTTTATCACCACATTTGCTTATGCACCCATTTTGTCTTCAGAAATCGTGTCAGGAAGGTGAGTATCAAAAATGCCACATTTTTAAAATAAATCATTCTTGTGCTGAGGTAAGATTTAAGTAGAGGTCCAAAGTTCATCTGCTTCCCTATTGTGTGTGCGTGTGTTGAAGGATTTGATTGACATATTTTGCAGGTCTTTCCTTGGCAAGTATTTTTTTATGCTCACTGGCTCCTGGTCTATTGATCCCTTATACTTTATGTTATACCCATACTTATCTCTTGTTAGATACTGCACTTTGAAGTTTATATTGTCGGAGATTAGAATTGCGACTCCTGCTTTTTTTAGCTTGTTTTTGTCTTTGACCTTGAGATGTGTCTCTTGCAGACAACAGATTGCTGGGTTTTGTTTCCTAATCCAGTCTGCTAGCCTTTGTCCTTTGATGGGGGATTTCAGACCATTGACATTCAGAGTTATTATATCCATCTGTGGAATTATTGTCATTTTGTACCTTTTGTGACAGACATTTTCCTCCCTCCCTCTTTAGCAGTGTGTTATGTATGTGTGCGGGGATTAATTATTGCCTTCTTTTCCCCATCGGGTCAAAGATGTCTTGGTCATTGATTTCAGTGCTCTCAGTTCTGCTTGGTGTTACACTTGTGGTGGTCTCATGTTTGTGCTCTGTGAATGTTGATCATCTGACTAAAGTGAATGGGAAAGTAAATTTTGTAGTGCTGGTTGTTTTGTTTTGTTTTTGACAAAACTCTTACCGCTCCATCTATTTCAACAGAAAGTTTGGCAGGATCCTTGGGTTACTGTTATACTCCTTCAACTTTTAGAAGATACTATTCCATTCTCTCCTCTTCATGATTTCTGCTGATAAGTGTGAGTTTATTCTTATCTGATCACCCTTATTGGTGACTGCATTTTTACCCTGTTTCCCGAAAATAAGACAGTGTCTTATATTAATTTTTGCTCCCAAAGATGCAGTAGGTCTAATTTTCAAGGGATGTCTTATTTTTCCATGAAGAAAAATATGGTACACATTTATTGTTTGTTTTATTAAAAGAGACCTCGCACTTCCTGTCTTCTCCGGCTGCTCTGCAGCCAAGTGAGCTGTGTGGTGGCGCCTGCCACTACGGTCCAGAGTCCAGCGTTACAGTAGCTTTGGGGTGCCTTATTTTCGGGGGGATGCCTTATATTTCAGTGAGAGGCAAAACTGTAAGTAGGTTTTATTTTGGGGGGATGTCTTACTTTCGGGGAAACAGGGTAACTCTAGCTGCTCTTAAGATTTTCTCCTTTTCTTCAAAGTGGATAATTTGACTACTATATGGCTTGGTGTGTTCTTCTTAGGGTTCTGTCTACCAGGAGTCTTCTCTGGTTCCTGGATATTTGTGTGATTCTCCTTAATTAAATTGAGGATTTTCTTCCAGGACTTCCCTCACTATCTTGACTGTTGGCTTGTTTGTTTTTTTCATTATATCTTGCTCTGGTATCCCAATTATTCGAAAAGTGTTTCTATTCATAGCATCGCTCATTGTTCTCAGGTTTTCTTCAACTTCTTTGCTTATCTTGTTTGATTATCTTTCACATTTGTTGAATTCTACTTAGCTATCTTTAAGGTTGCTGATATGATTCTCCACCTCTTCTGGCCTGGTGGTAAGGTCTTTTACCATTTTCTTTGCTTCTACTACAACACTTTCCCCTTAACACTTGTATTTCCCTCCAGTAAGCAGACATCCATTCTCCACTTTTAACTGTGAGCTGCCCTCGCTCTTCTCTCTGGTCCCGCTCTGATGTACCCACCAATGGTACTGTTTGGCTCTGCTCCGGTATCTTCCATGTGGTAGGACATGGGTCCTAATCATTTTGTCCTACACCCTCAATATCTTCATTATCCTAAAAATCAGTTCCACCACAGGTAGAAGCACAGCCTTCTATACTTGTTCTTATCACCTCACTTCAGTGCTTCTATTTTACTGCTCATATGTCCTAAACTCAGATTCACCATTGCACTTGATCCTCTTTGTGAAATAGTGTGGTCACACCCCTACCGAATCCTTTCATCTACAGCCTAAAGAACTGTGAGAAGGACTTTGAGAAAATATCAGCAATATCTCAGGTAGTGAAATAGAGTCTACTGGGGAATTCGTGTATTACAGGAATATATCAGGTGAATTGACATTAAGAAAATTTCCTCATGGTGCCTGATATTGGA